TGTTTGTGTCACGTTGCACATGTTTTTGTCGTTATCAATAGTCCAACTTGACCATAAGCGCAACTGGGGTGAACATTCTGGAAAGAACTTCACTGAGAAATTTTACAAGTTTCGTGTTTAACCAAACAATGTTCTACCTCCTCGCAATATTATCCAGCAATTGTTTTTTTTTTATTAGTAGGATGTATGCACAAGAAATGATTTATTGAACATTCAATAATTGTTGTCAAACCAAAACATTCAATAGTTTACCCAACAATAACTTAGCTCTATCGTTTTATCGAAGTGTGAACGATGGTTTGAATTTCAATACAAATCGTACCCGTACGACTGCTTAAGTGTCAAATACATTTTCATTTTCAATAAAATAATTCATACATAGAATTTTATTTCTCGTATAAACTGATTATTGATCATTCAACCTAATTTAATTTTTTTTTTTTTTAATTTTTAATTTGAGTGTAGATCGAAAAATGACGCTGGGTTTATTTTCAATGTTTATTGAAACTTTGAGAAAGCATAGATATTGAAAATTAAAAACGCTATTACGAGCGTGTTAACCTATATAAATAAACATAAACACATATTTCGATAGAAGTACATAATATTCATTATTAATTAAACAGTCCTAATCATTTTTATGAGCTCAACGTAAAATATTATTATAACTTTAGGGGATGAGGAGGGACTATGGATAAAAATGAGGGATCTAAGCCCCCTCAATAGTATCTATGCGATAGTCTGAAACACGCCGATTACAGAAATTAGAACAAAACATTAATGAAATCGTCGACCACAAAATTTGAAACACAACACCCGCGCTGAATTTATCACTGGATTTAAAAATAGCCAAAACACTATGCGTAATGAATTGTTCGATTATGCATTTAGTCGTACGGAAACTTATATAGAAATACTGAATTTGTATGTTTGGAATTGATGAATTGAACGTGTAGTGCACAATACCATTACACTAGTCTAAACAAATAACAAAAGACGTAATAATATTAGTTACTTCTCTTCTGTGTTCTTCTACGCACATCAATATTATCGTGTGAATATAATGATAAACATATTTATAAATTCAACGTCATTTACATTTTTAGAAGTCCACAATAATATTATTAAACTTCAGCACGTATTTTTGCTATAATTTGTACAGGCGTTTTATTATTACGCCATATAATAATAATAATAATAACAAACATTTTCAAGATTATGTGCGTTCGACAAATTAATTAATTAGTACGTACCTATGTCGTTTCTTTTTGTAAATCAATAATTTAAATGTAAAATGTAAAATGTAATCCTATATCCTTAAGTACATAATTATATTATATTTATGATAAAATATTAGAAAATTGTAGAGTGAGAATTATTGACAAATTTCCAAAAATGTAATAATTATTATTCCGTATTAGTAATATTTTCTAAAATTTAGTAGACTAGAAATGACTAACAATTTTTTTTTGTTAAAATGTACATGATATTGGAAATATCCGGTTACTTTTGAGCATTAAAAAAAAATTGTTTTTGAAATCTTAATAACATCATCAACATATTCAATATTATCTTTCAAAATATCTTCTCATTATTACAAAAAATGTTAAAACACATTAATACCGCAAAATACCACTTGTATAATTTTTTCATTCTTTTTTTTTTTTTTGCTTTCAAGTTAATTAATTACCTATTTGATTCATATAAATAAATATGCATTTAATTAAGTATTTTCCTTAGTAATTAAATTATTTGTTTACGAAATAATGTTTTACATTTTAATCTATTCTACAATTTTACGATTGAATTGTACAAAATATTTATAAATATTGTATAACATTTTTAACAAATTGATTTAAATTATCGCTGATTCTTTTCTTACTCGTGTTATATTCTATAAAATAAAATTCCAATAAAACATTCTTTATACTCTTAATTATTGAATAATTTGGACACAACATAGAACCATAAGAAAAAAAAGCAAATATGTATAGTTAAACAGTACTACTATAAAAACCAATAATAGTATATTTAAACCATTATTTCGGTAAAATAAATTTACATTTTTTTTATCAAAACTAAAAAATTGTGTTATGATTAAAACTTAAAAATATATTTTGACAATAACAATTATAATAAGATGCCTTAGCATAAACAATTTGTATCAATTACGGGTAAAAATATGTAGTTTAGTTTTAGATATAGAGTATTAGATAAAAATAAATATTTTTAAAACTTTTTTCATGACTTCGAGATCGAGCTTCGATCAAACCTTTATTGATTATTACCCATGGTGTGAACTTGGTTTATTATATTATTAGACAAAATTAAATTCAAAAACATTATCTATTCTTTCTGAAAAAATATTTACTTAAAAAATCGTTCAGACAATACTTGTAAACTGAGACCAATTTATAAAAATACAATACCTAATGATATATTTATTGAAGTCGGTATAGTAAACGCTTTTCAAATTAATCAATTGTAATTTTTAAACATAGTCACTCGGACATATTGATGTATAATTGAAAACTATCAAAACAAATAAAACGACATTATAGCAGTTCAATACTAAAATAGGTACAATAGGTATTTACTTCTTTATTACCTTTAAGCTATATATAGCATTAAGAATTCGTGATACACCATATGTAACGATACAGCCGTCAACTTTATTTTATTGTTCATTAAATAAAATAAACAGGTTAGTAGGAATCATATGGGCCAAGAGTTCGTTTAAAAACAATAATTATGAATGAAACTTTCACAGTCTAATTATAATGGAAGTTAATTTCAAGATGGATACTGTGTTTGCTAGTTTGCTATGTATTCTGTTGATTGGTATTAAATACTACGGTGCACTTTTCAATATTATAAAACATAACGATATTAATTATTCTGTTGTCTAAAAACATTAACTTTAGGAACTTAAAAGATAAACTGGATACTAAGTTATACAAGTATTATCAATATATTATACTAATAATTTTAAATATTTATTAAAGTGGTGCTAAATTAATTATATCAAAGTCCAATGGTTATACTAAATGTGATTTTTTCTTCTTCTGTTGTTTAATCAGTTTCATTACAAAAATATTGGCTATTTATTACTAATATAATAATATAAACTATCTTTTGATATGAAGTCAAATGGTATAAATGGTATATTGATTTTAAATTTAAAATAAAAATGTCCCGGTATCTCAACCGATCACTATATTTTACCAGATCTGTGACTTAATTATTTTTAATTATTTTTATTTATACATATATGTGCGTGTGTGTGTGTGTGTGTGTGTGTGTGTGTGTGTGTGTGTGTATGGGTGTATGTATGTATGTATATATATTCGAAGTATGTTTAATTATAGGAAATATTGGAATAGACATTTTTTAAGTAAGAGGAAAACCGCCCGAAAACTGAAATCGGGACTAAAAAAATAAAATAGATCGTTCTATTATCAAACTTAACATGCACATTATAATCAATGTTTAAATTAAAAATGAATATGCAGGCATTGAATTGAATAACATATATTAGTGTGCTCGTTGCAAGATTAACAAACATGGACAAATTATAGTAGACCGACAATAAAAGTGCGTAGACATATAGTGATATACTCACGTATACTGATAGATACTAAATTGATACATGTACGTATTAGTTAATCTTTTAAATTTTTATGAATTTGAAGATTATATTGTGCGTTAAGTAACTCTTTATCCAAGAACGAAATCCTTATGGTATAATAGTATTAGAGTAGTATAGTATATATTAATAAAATATAGTATGTATTATAGTTTTAATAAATTAATTAATACTGAAGTATATAATACATATAATATTGCAAAATAATACGAACATAATAAAACCCGTATATATACGAGTACATTATAATTAGAATCTATAAACAAATGTGTCAATAGCACCTTAGATTGAATTAATTTAATGAACTTTATGATTAATCTAGAACCGAATTACTTAATAATAAAATACGTTTATAATAAATAATAACACATTTTGAAATGCATTTTAATAATTAACAATTATTGTTATTAGGTTTTTGTAAGCAAATAAAATAAATATAACTGGGTGAGATGTATTATTTAATGTTAATTAATTTTGTTGAATCAACACAATGGCTTACACGCTCAATAAAAACTAGGTGAATAAACAATTATAATAATTGGAACTTAGTCGCAGCCAAATAGGAATTTGCTTTTTAGCCATTAAATTATTTTAGTAATTATTAGAAAACAAGTTGTTCGAGGTGCCAAAAATAAATGATTGATTACAAAAGTTATAACAAGTGCTTTATTAAAATGTTTGATTTTCTATTTTTAATCGACCGAATAAAAATGTGTTTTACGTGCAGCCTGATTTCCGAAAAAATATATATAAATACGTACGTACAAACGGCTATATACTATAATGCGGATGATCTTAGTGGATTCGTTGCCAACCATAGAGGTCGATTGCGTTGTCCGTTAAAGATTTCGAATTCAGTGTTCAGAACTTATTAGTCAACTCATACCACTTGTACGATCTTTTACGTTTTCGCTCGTGCAAATCAAAATTACTGTCAATTCGGTGCAATATAAAAATATAAATTAGAAAAAAATCGATTACAATTAAAACGTGTTGAATTCAAAAATGCTGGCGTCAACACTAAAAAATCCCTACGACGTATTACCTGCTAGCGTTGATATCGTTTATTTCAGTACACAACATCGTTACGATTAGAAATATCACATATTCTTATCCGGCATTGTTTTCGTGAAAACGTGGTTTTAACGAATAAAAAAATGTAAAAATTGCGTTTCTCGCGTTGCTCTTTGACGAATTAAAAAAAAAAAAAAAACATGGAAAAAAAACCCATGGAATCAGTCAACGTTAGTGTTGGGTGCACGTGGGAACCCCGCGACCGCACTTGTGGTGGTGCGTTCGTCAAGGTGATCGCGGAACAACGACGGCGGGGATAAATCCGTAAACGTGTAGATACCTCTTTTTTTTTTTCTTCCGGACGACCGTCGTGCGGGCAGAGGCGGTGGCGACACGCACGTCTCGGGGTCGTATGCGCCGCGCGGAACGCGAAGCTCATCACTGCCGGATCACCGCACGTCGGACTTCCATCGTAGGCGTAGTCGTCGTTGCTCTTTTGTCGCGCGCGCGCGCGCGGAGACGGAACCGTTCGGACACGTGGACCGGGTAACGGGAGCAGGGAGGG